ACCCACTGACCTACTTTCAGAACTGCTTGGCATCACTCAGCATCCTCGCCCGTCCTCCACGGATCTGTGATGTTTAGATTCTGTGACAGGAAACATGAGAGTAACGGCCCTGCAGATAAAAATATAACACACCAAAGGTGCTCACAGCCGCCAGGCTGGCTCTGTTTAATTGCACACACATCATTCATCATGAGAGATGTGACAAATTTGTCTTTATTTTTCCCCAGCTTACGGCTCTGTGCTCTCTCATGCATGTTCATGAGGTATACTTCTCCTTATCCTATTTTCATATTTAAATGAAAACAAATTGGCTCATTTACCGGGAGACTCTCAGCTTGATAGAGATTGAAAAAGTGTGTGTGTGTGCACGTGTGTGTGTGTGGAGTGTTGTATTTGTTTTCCCTCAAAGGGTTAGGAAAGTATGGATTGAACGGATCGTTCAGAAAGAAAGACATTTTCAGAATGTCTTCAATCATCTGCACAAAACAGAGCCTGAAATAGCTCCGGGAAAAGCTCGCAGATAATACAGCAATCACGACAAAACTAAATCAACACGGTAGTTGGTTGCAAATGTCACAGCATCGCATATTATTTCTACCTGCACAGAGAACTGCAACCAATTGTGGAATGGCTTCCTCCTGCCTGTGTTCATGGGTTTGGAGGAAGAGGATTGGAACATGGAGCGGGCCCCAGGTCGGGGAGGAGGGAGAGGCAGGTGCGCGTGGATGGAAGGAAGCCCTTTGTACAGGGTGGAAGGAGAAGGAGAGGTGGATCACCCTGAGCACGTCCTGTAGGAGGATGTAAAAGGCAGGAGCCCAAGTAGGGAGAGACCTTCTCCGCACTGCATATAATTCCCCCTTTAACATATTGTTCTTTTTTAATTCCCCGAGTAATGGACAGACCCCTGATACAGGAGGGCAAAGAGTATGCTTCCTTTACCCCTCCCCGCCCAATCCCAATCCATAGTCCTTTAGGTGTGTGTTTCTCCAGAACCCTCCGTGCACCCCATGTCTGCTGCTGAGTCCGTCTGTCTCTGTCACCCATGTGGGTATCTACTGCCTCCGTGAGTGGTGTCTGCAGCAGTTGTTAGCAAGGATCACTCCCTCTTCCCCAAAGCTCTGAGTTGGGTTCCAGCTTCTACATCTGCCTCTTCAGGCTCTCCTGCCTCACCCCATGGTCCTCCAACTGCCACGCTGGGTCCTCCTCATACGAGTGACCTCTAAAGGAGCGAATAATCATGGCTCTCCCCTCATGGATTCCTCCAGCACCAGAGCTCTACATAATGTTTAGAAGAAGACGGCTGTCTTCTCAGTTGTCAGAGGGAGCTAAGCATTGGGTACCGGGGACTCCTAGAGAGCGGAGGTGAGGAAGGGTTGAAAACCACCTCTTGGGAACTATGCTCACCACCTGAGTGGTGGGATCATTTGTACCCCAAACCTCAGCATCATGCAATAAACCCTTTTAACAAACCTTCACACGTATTCCCTGAATCTAAAATAAAAGCTGAAATTATTTTTTTAAAAAGAATATGACTCTCAAATATATTCCTCCAGCCTGAAGCTGGACCACCAACCGCCCACCTGACACCTCAGTCTGAATCAGCCGTGCAAACTGGTTCAAAGCAGAGCCCTTGACTTTGCCTCTGCCAAGCCTGCTCCTCTCCTAGTTCCGCTTAGCAAAGTCATCACCATTTACCGGCCAAATACTGGTAATCTTCTTTGGTTCCTCTCTTTTGTTGCCGCCATCTGAACCACCAGCAAATCCTGGGGGTTCTACCCTCAAAGTCCACCCAGAGCCTGCTGGCTTCTCACCACCCCACCCCTACTACAATGGTTCAAACACAACTCCACTTCCCCCAAACCACTGCAATCCCCACTGGACTGCTCTCCTTGCTTCAAACCACCCAGAAGCAATGATTTTTGGAATAGACAGACTGCGCTTTTAAAAAATCAAAGCAGGGATGCATGCCCCTGCTCCAAGCCCTCCAACAGCTTCCTGTCTTCTTAGAATAAAACCCAGTGGTGCTGCGTGGACCACCAGTCCCATCCTCGGCCCTGTTTCCTGGCATGGCTCCAGCAGCACTGACTCCCAGGGAGGAGATTCTGTTTTGTTCATTGCTCTATCCCCGATGGGTAGCAGACTCATATTATTTCTCTCTCGTGCTGTCTTTACACACACGCGCACACACACACACACACACACACACACACACACACATGCACCGCCCCCACACCATCCACCACCCCCCCCCCGCCCCCCCCACCCCAACACACACCCCACCCCCCATTTTGTTTTTATTTCATGTCACATGTCTCTCCATCTATCACCTAATTGGTTAATTACATGAATTAATTTTTACTTTATTTTTCAAACTTAACTGTCATTTAGATTTTTTTTATTTTGTTATGCAATATCCATCTCTTTATAACTGTTGCATAGTTTTCTATGGATTTACTATAATTTATTTACTCTTTAATGATACAAAATTGTGTTGGTCTATTTTCATTAGAGTGATTAACAAATAAAGTGAAAGAATTGAGGAGAGAAGTCCAGATCCTTATGTAGGGAGCCCAAGAAAGGGTTTCAGGGTGTCTGGAGTCCCCCATAGTGTAAGCGAGACTGTCTAGGTGCTTGAATATGGAAATGCTTGGTTCTGGGGAACACTGGTTTTCACCCTTCTGAAAGTTATAGATCACTGGATCAGGATACTCACTTAAATTAACCCAGGCTAGCCGCTATGCTGACCCTGCCAACCCCTAGCCAGGAAAACGATCTAATTAAGGAGAAAGCTGCTGTCCGTTCAGAGGCTTTGTGGCAGTGTGTTCTGGGTGAAGGTGTTGGAGCCTGGATGGGGAGACCTGCTCCTACCTCCTAATGATCTACAGCAGCCTGCAGACCTTTGCAGGCCTACATGCCCCTTCTGACCACGGGCCCAAGGAGATCTGGCTACCTCCAGATAGCACGTGGGAAATGCCTTTATAACAGCAAATTGCCATCAAGTGGAACTTGCTGTTTTGTTTTTCTGACTTCCCAATTGCTCTGTCTCTTAATCCCATACTAATGACGGGGTAAAAAGGGATGAAGGAAAAATATAAAACGAGGTCACAGTGAGATGACGTTGATGACAGTAGCAATCAGCTCTTTAAGATGCAAAAAGTCGCCTAAAATTCTTCCCAACCAGAGCGGATGCCTCCCAGCCCCTCGCCATTGCAGAAGGATGTGTGAACTGTGCTGTTCGGGCTGCTTTCTGGCTCTTCTGCATGCACCACAAGGTCTTGCTGTAGCCCTGGCGTCTCTCAAAGCAGCAGGAAGGAGTACGACGGCCTGCCGTTGGGGGAAAAGGAGGTGATGTTCCATACAAAGCCTTGAGCCACAGATCCCCCAACTGGCCCTTGAGGAGCAGGTCATACCCACTGGCTGGTCGAGCAGGAGGCCCTGCCCATCCATTCCCTGCCAGCTTCAGGGGTCTGACCATAGCTGAGTCCTGGCTTTTACCACAGACTTAAGAATATGGGTGGCATCCAATTCTCCAGCCCACTGTCGAATATCTCAAGGAAGTTTCTTGACAAATGAGTGACTTTGAGGCTTTGAGACAGAAAGATACAGCAAGCAGTCAAATGTGAAGATGTGTTTTGATTATATGTTAAAGTTAATACTGTGTTATAAATCTAACATAGCATAATGATCAAAGGCATGGACTTAAAGCCAGGTAGCCTGAGTAAGGATCCTATCTCCACTCTGATTATCTGTGCTCTTAGAGGAATTTTTAAATTGATCTGTGCTTGAGTTTCTTCACCTATAAAATGTCAATAAGAAAACCAGGAAGTGGGCCCTTATGAGACACCGAGTCTGCCGGCACCTTGATCTTGGGTTTCCCAGCCTCCAGAACAGTGAGCAATAAATTTCTGCTTTTTTTTTTTTTTTTTTTTTGGAGATGGAGTCTTGCTCTTGTTGCCCAGGCTGAAGTGCAATAGCATGATCTCAGCTCACTGCAACCTCCACCTCCTGGGTTCAAGCGATTCTCCTGCATCAGCCCCCCAAGTAGCTGAGATTACAGGTGCCTGCCACCACGCCCAGCTAAGTTTTGTATTTTTAACAGAGATGGGGTTTCGCCATGTTGGCCAGGCTGATCTCGAACTCCTGACCTCACGATCTGCCCACCTCAGACTCCCAAAGTGCTGGGATTACAGGCATGAGCCACCGCACCCAGCAAAATTTCTGCTTTTTTAGGCTACCTAAGCTAAGACAGATAGCAACTCTCAGTGGTGGAGGCTGCGAGCAGTTATCCCTTCTCCGTAACAGCAGAGTTGTGGCCTGGCAGGTGCTGGCCGGCTACGCCAGGTTTCCCAGCACCCCCTGAAGCATGGTCACGTGGCTATGTCCTCTCCCATGGAATATGAGTGCAAGTGACTTGTGCCATGTCCAAGCTGGGCCTCAAAAGAGCTGGCATGCTACCTCAACACCCTTGTTCTCTGTTTCTGATGGCTTGAGCAGCAGTGACCAGAGTGGCTTTGCAAGCCACCTATAAACAATGGCCATCACCTTAACCTTGTTGCCTGCCAACTTGGGACAATGAAATCATCACATAAAAGAAAAGTAATCTTCAGACTGCTTAGAGCCACTGCACTGTTGAGTCACTTTCTTAAAGCAGTTATTGTTATCCTCACTAAAACCCGACAGAGGTATTGAGAGCATTCAATGAGTGAGTAAACACAAAGCACATAGAGTCAACACTGTATATGTGGTCGCTAATGGCACTGATGCAGAAAATAATAAAACATCATCATGTAATTAGGAAGGAACTGCTTGTGTAAAAAATTACATGGCGTATTTCAAAGCTATGTAGCAATGAGGTTTGCATGCTGTGGAGTTTTCTATAATCCGGCCCATTGTGCAGGGCCATCGTCCAGGTAATCTGGAATTGACAGGCCATACGAAATAGAAAAGCACATTGTGTTAGGTCATTCTTGCATTGCTATAAAGAAACACCGGAGACTGAGTAACTTCTAAAGAAAAGAGGTTTAATTGGCTCATGGTTCTGCAGGCCGTACAGGAAGCAAGGTGCTAACATCTGCTCAGCTTCTGGGAGGCCTCGGGAAGCTTCCGATCACACTGGAAGATGAAGGGGGAGTAGGCGTGTCACATGACCAGAGCAGGAGCAAGAGGGGTGGGAGAGGTGCTACACACTTTTAAATGATCAGATCTTGTGAGAATTCCCTCACTATCGCAAAGACAGCACCAACGGGATGGTGCTAAACCATTCATGAGAATTCCACCCCCATGATCCAATCACTTCCCACCAGGTCCCACTTCCAACACTGGGACTTACACTTCAGTATGAGATTTGAGTGGAGAAACAGAGCCAAACCATATCACATACAAAATCATAGATGGTATTGCTGGTTAGAAGAATTCTTTATCATGAGTAAAACAGTGTATGTTGCTCAGAGAGTTCTCAAGAAGAGTGATTAGAATCTTGTGTCAAAAGGACAGGAACGGCTGGACACGGTGGCTCACGCCTGTAATCCCAGCACTTTTAGAGGCCGAGGCCAGGAGTTTGAGACCAGCTGGGCAACATGGTGAAACCCCATCTCTACCAAAACTACAATAATTAGCTGGGTGCCTGTAATCCCAGTTTCTCGGGAGGCTGAGGCAGGAGAATCACTTGAACCCAGAAGGCAGAGGTCACAGTGAGCCTAGATCGTGCCACTGCACTCCAGCCTGGGCAACCGAGTGAGACTCTGTCTCAAAAAAAAAAAGAACAGGAATGGAAATGACCATGACTATGACCATGCTGGTTGGTTTTTTCCATACCTAGAAATCCATGTGTAGAAGATGGACACACCAACCCTTTTGAATTTGATGGTGGTGTTTCTTTGTGTGTTGTTTTCTGGGTTTTTCTGCTGTTCCATTGACACTTCGATTAATGCATTTGCAGAACATCTGGGAGTCTGTGGCCACTGTAGAGCACACAGCCTCCACAGCTGTCACCCTGGGATGCACGCCTCCCCGTGCCTGGTTACTGGAAAGAGGAGGAATGCCACAGGCAGAGGGCAGCCGGGAGAAGTCTGCCCCAGAGTGACGGCACATGGACTGCAGAACGATGGAGTTGCCGGGGCCTTTTGTCTTCATAAGTGCAAGGCATTGCTCCAGCTTAGCTGCATGACAGCCTATGCAGGGATAGTTGCCTCTGCTGTCAGTCAACACTCACAGACATGTGGCGCCCACACAGGGCCACTGTGGTCAGCTGCATTGATCCTTGCTTTGGACAAGAATAACAATTGCCAGAACTATTTCTAGCTCCTGGCTGGGAACACTGACAAGGAACTCCTACTCTCCAGCCATGGAACTGAGCTAGAGACAGACAGCTCGGGGACCGAACCCGAGGAGGCAGGAGGACGGCCGTGCTCTTTCTCCTAATTGCATGATGATGCTCAACATCCGGAAAGTGCTCTGACTCAGGGCAGCAAAGTAATCCTGTCTGAGTATGAAGCGAGACAAAGTCCCCCATGGGCAGGCAGCTATGGGGGAGACAGGGTGGCCTTTGGGACTGTGAGTCCTTCATATGAGCCTTTCTGGGCAGTTTGTTTCCTGTGTGTGAGAGACAGAGAGAGAGAGAGAGAGAGAGAGAGAGAGAGAGAACACTAAGTACTATCAAAGGAAATCATAAAATGTGAAAATTAATTTTTCCCTCTAAGAGAGAAGCTTTGGGGTTTATGACTCATAGGAATGGTGTGATATGCAAGAAGGAGTCCGTGCTAGCACTGGCCTTGGAGCTCAGGAAGGAGCTGTGAGAATCGCAGCGTGCCCCACAGGTATCTGAGAGGTGTCGGAGAGTCAGTGTGGCATCAGGGCCATGAGCAAGGCCCTGATGCAGAGGCACAGAAGTGGGTCTGGATCCTGGGACCTGGGGCAGGAGGTACAGATGGGGGAGTTGGCAGCAAGATGAGAACTTGGTGGGAGCCCAGTTGCTTGACTGAGCCACAGGGCAGGGCAGGATGCGTGGGACACTGAGTCCCCAGCCTCTAAGCTGGGAGCTCCTCAAGAGTTCCTTGACTCAGGCCAGTGACAGCCACAGGCTGCACTGCAGGTGCAGGTCAGTGGGAGGTACGGAGACAGGGCTAAAGGGAGGGTGACCTGGCAGGTTCCATGTGAGATCTACAGTGTCAATCTGGACACTTGGTGTGGATAAAACCCAGCAATGCGTCAGGTCGTCATTGCTCATGCGTGGGTTTTCTGATGGGGCCCCCCGGTACCCAGCTTCCCATATGCTTCTGACAGCACATTGCATAAAGCCATTGGAAGCAGTGCCCTGGTTTGTGGTTCCAACAAGAACTGGTTTCCCCAAAAGTAGGTCAAGAGCTCCTGAGAAACTTGTGGACTCTGACTTTGATTTTTCCATCTTCAAGTTGAAAGAATAAGTTCATTGCAAGAAAAAAAAATTGATTTTTTTTCTTCTTTTTTTTGAAATTTGAAACATAGTTGGCATGATGGGAAATAAAAACTGACAAAGTCAGGGAAACCCCAGTTGTGGCCTAGCAAGCCCCCAGCCACCGTTTGGCCAGACCCCATGGCCATGGCTGGTTCTTCGGCTGCAGTGGGGCAGGGGCCTCCCTGGATACAGAGAAGACCATGAGACCTAATGAGCAGGTGAGTGGCTCTGTGGGCTGCCACCCTGCTCCCAATCCCACTTATCATGGCCACAGTGAATCTGTCATTGAAACGGACTTTCAACGCCAGTCACAAGAACAGTCTATTATCTCAGTGAACGTCAGACACCTCCTGGAAAATTGCACAGATTTCTTTATGTCTCTTTGCTAGAAGGAGGAAACGAGGAAACTCCAGCAAGAAAGAAGGCATCATTTTTTCAACAATCACACATAACGTGAGTATGAGCCACCCAGAAAGCTGAGATCTTTAAGAACTGGGAACACATCTTATATCTTTTGCATCCTGGGCAGTGTTTATACCAGGACCTTGTCCATCATCAGTTCTCAATGAATGGCTGTTGAACAAATGAGTGAGTGAACAAGTCATGAGTCTTCCTACTCTGGCATCACAGTGTCCACCTGGGAGGCTCTGCAGGCTGAGGTTAGGAGTACAGCACAGGGAGCAACCCCAGCCTGGCTCTCACCACCCTCGGTGGGCACCTGCTCTCATTGCCTGGCTAGCATCTGCTATGCCTTCTTTTCGCAATGGTACCTGGATTTCCACTGATGTTCTCTCTCTTTCCTTTCCTCAACTCATCTGATTCAGGTGGACCTGATGGCCCAGGCTCCAGTAGACATGCGGCCTAACCTGGAAAATCATAGAATCAAGTGAATGACTTATCATGCTTTGGATTCTGGAGGCAAAAATCCCATCAAAAACTAAGCTAAGGACATGAATAGACAATTCTCAAAAGACGATATACAAACGGCCAGCAAACATATGAAAGAAAGCTCAACATCACTAATGATCAGGGAAATGCAAATCAAAACCACAATGTGATGCCACCTGACTCCTGCAAGAATGACCATAATCAAAAAATCAAACAACAGTAGATGTTGGCGTGGATGTGGTGATCAGGGAACACTTTCACCCTGCAGGTGGGAATGTAAACTGGCACAGCCACTATGGAAAATGGTGTGGAGGTTCCTTAAAGAACTAAAAGTAGGCCGGGCGCGGTGGCTCAGCCTGATCCAACTTGGGAGCCGACGGGCGGTCAAGGTCAGGAGATCGAGACCATCCTGGCTACACGGCGAACCCGTCTCTATAAAAACAAAAAATTAGCCGGGCGAGGTGGCGGGCCTGTGGTCCAGCTACTGGGAGCTGAGGCAGGAGAATGGGGGAACCGGGAGCGGAGCTTGCAGTGAGCTGAATTGGCCACTGCACTCCAGCCTGGGCGACAGAGCGAGACTCCGTCTCAAAAAAAAAATAAAAATAAAAATAAATAAAGAACTAAAAGTAGAATTACTATTTGATCCAGCAATCCCACTACTGGGTATCTACCCAGAGGAAAATAAGTCATTATATGAAAAAGATACTTACACACGCATGTGTATAGCAGCACAATTTACAATTGCAAAAATATGGAACAAATCAAATGCCCATCAATCAACGAGTGGATAAAGAAACAGTGGTGTGTGTGTGTGTGTGTGTGTGTGTGTGTGTATGATGGAATACTATGCAGCCATAAAAAGGAATGAATTAATGGCTTTACCTGGATGAGATTGGAAACTATTATTCTGAGTGAAGTAACTCAGGAATGGAAAACCAAACATCATATGTTCTCACTGATATGTGGGAGCTAAGCTATGAGGACGCAAAGGCATAAGAATGATAGAATGGACTTTGGAGACTTGTGGGGAAAAGTGGGGGGTAGCAAGAGATAAAAGACTACAAGTAGGGTGCAATGTATACTGCTCTGGTGATGGGTGCACCAAAATCTCACAAATCGCCATTAAAAACTTACTCATCTAGCCAAATACCACTTGTACCCCAACAACTTATGGAAAAAGTAAAATAATAAAAAGAGAAAGCCAGGCACAGTGGCTCATGCCTGTAATCCCAGCACTTTGGGAGGCCAAGACAGGTGGATCACCTGAGGTCAGGCGTTCAAGACCAGCCTGGCCAACATGGTGAAACCTTGTCTCCGCTAAAAATACAAAAATTTAGATGGGCGTGGTGGCAGGAGCGTGTAATCCCAGCTACTTGGGAGGCTGAGGCATGAGAATCACTTGAACCTGCAAGGCGGAGGTTTCACTGAGCCGAGATCATGCCATTGCACTCCAGTCCAGGCAACAAGAGGGGGGGAAAAAAAAAAGAGAGAGAGAAAGAAAAGTAAGCTAAGAGATGCCAAATAAATAAACATATAGCAGCTATAATCTCAACACCCTAAATAGTTAACATTTTAGTGGATTCAGAAAGAGGGAGGGAGGGACGGAGGGAGGGAGGGAGGGAGGGAGGGAGGGAGGGAGGGAGGGAGGAAGGAAGGAAGGAAGGAAGGAAGGAAGGAAGGAAGGAAGGAAGGAAGGAAGGAAGGAAGGAAGGAAGGAAGGAAGGAAGGAAGGAAATGATTTTATCCAAGTAAGCCCAGTGGCAATATTCATAATAAACTGCCTTTAGTGGCCTGGTCTCTCCTTGAAAATGCTGGCAGATGACTGTGGTCAGGTTACCTTGTCCTTTGGCATATATACAGATATACAGATGACTAATTGGAAAAAAATTAGATTCCATCTTAGGCCAATAAAACTTCAACAGGAACAAGCACCCCTTCGATCTGATGGCTGGACCCAGCTCAGCTACAGTGAGATGCATTTCTAAGTTTGCAAAGAATCAGAGTGGAATTTATAATGCAGCTTGGGAGCTCATATTTCAAACACCTATATTAATGCAAACAAAAGGAAAGAAGCCTCATCCACAGCTTGTCAACGTGCCGACTTTGGAATGAGGTTCTCAGAAAGTCCGTGATTCTTTCGCCTTGAGTCTCTCCATTTCTGACCAGGTCCTAAGCTTTTGGCTGGGGCAGTGTCAACAGTCGAGTTCAGTTCCCTCCCAACTGGACTTGGTCTGTGTTGGCTGTGTGGTCTGAAAGACCTTCATAAGTGACCGTGCAGGGATGTGGTCATCTGCATTTGTCTATAAGAACTTGTGGGCTGGGCGCGGTGGCTCAAGCCTGTAATCCCAGCACTTTGGGAGGCCGAGACGGGCGGATCACGAGGTCAGGAGATCGAGACCATCCTGGCTAACCCGGTGAAACCCCATCTCTACTAAAAAACACAAAAAACTAGCCGGGGGAGGTGGCGGGCGCCTGTAG